CGTGTAACCAAATGTGAACATGTATGTGTACGCTGAGTGCAGCCTTTACTCCTGGGTGCATACCCTGCAGAGATGTGTCCATACGCTCATTACAGGACATGTTCAAGAATTCTCATCATCACCCATACACCCATGTCGATTGAAAGAGGTAAACAATCCAGGTACAGTCACACAGGGAAATCCAGCGATAAGAAAGAACAAACTACAAGTGCATGGGACCGCATAGGTGACTCCCAAAGCCAGAAGAGCACAAGGAGCAAGACACAAAGGTCACCCTCATGGCTGTTTCCATGAAACTGACCCGCAGGCAAGGCTAGCTCACGGCCATGGCTGCCCTTGGGCACAGTCGGTGACCAGGAACAAGAGACGCAGGTGCTCCTGGGAAGCTGGTGGTGTGAGCTTCGGGATCTGGGTGTTTGTGACTCAAGTGCATTCAGTTTGTGAAAACTCATCAAGCTGTCCATGTAGTATATGCGTGTTTTTCTGTGTGTTAACACTGACACTCTGTTTATAAAAGATGTAGAGTCCTAGCCGGTTTGGCTCAGTGGATAAAGTGTTGGCCTGCAGACCAAAGGGTCTCGGGTTCAATTCCGGTCAAGGATGTGTACTGCGGTTGCAGGCTCCTCCCTGGCCTGGGCCCTGGTTGGTTCCTGCGGGAGGCAACCAATCAATGTGTTTCTCTCACATTGTTATTTCTTTCGGTCTTTCCCTCTCCCACTCTCTCTAAAAATCAATGGAAAAATATCCTTGGGTGAGGATTAAAAAAGAAGACATAGGCCTGCACCTACATCTCTCTCTGCTTCTCGCAAGATCACAAACATCTTCACATTCACACACCTTAGGAGTCAGCAGTGGGCACTGTGGGAACTGCCACAAGCCTGCAGAATGCAGAGCTGCCCCTGACACGGCAGGACAGGTCCCGGGCTCCGCGTGAACTCAGCGGAGGCTCTTGCCCGCTTTGACCATTTGGTGCCAGGGGAAACCACTGTCTCCACTTCCCTGGTCTGACGGGCCTCGCATTCCTCTTTGCATGGCTGACCAACATCGCATCCTCAGCCCGTTTTTAAGGAAAGCACTTTGCCGCTGCCACATCCTCAGCAGCTCCGAGCTCCCCGATCCGGCGCTCCCTTGTGATATAAATTCCTCACCCCCCACGCGTCCTGCACATTCACGTCTCACAAGACAGTCAGCCCCCACGAGCTATTTCCCAAGCCAGTTCCTGCGGGAGAAAGCGCTGGAGTTCAGTGGTTTTCTTTTATTTTTAGAGGGCATGGAAGTTGGCCTGTTCCAGTGGGAGAATGCCGGGGGGACTGCTGGGTCTGGGGAGGGGTGGCGGTCCCCAAGTCTGTCTGCTCTGCCCCAGCCTCTGGCCCGTTCAGTCCGGGGGCAGGAGCCTCCCCTCACTTCGGTGATATAACCCAGAAGTCTGCGGCTTCTGCATAGTGTCACGATATTAACCGTCTCTTAAATTAACACAGTTCATCACATCCATTGAAACATAAGTGCTTTGCAAATACCCCTCGTCCATGGGCATGGCCCATTTTTATGACGAAAAAACGAAGGCCTACTTTGTCCCCGGAGGCAAAACGCTTGGCATCTAAGCCAGGCTGCCTCGCTTACGCTGTTGGTGGGGACGCTTTTCCCGTGTCAGACTCGTGTCCTCCACAGTGAGCGGCTGGGGGC